CAATAGAGAAGGAGTGTGGGGTTCAAAGAACAGTCTCTATGTTTGTGTGTTTGCAGATGAGTATCGTTAATGAAATAGAGGCATGTGAATAAAAGTAGAAAAGTATTCTCGAACAGGAGTAGGGGGGGGGGGGAGTCAAATGTAGGTTTAGTATGCGTATGTCTCCTGTTTGTGTATCTTATATATCACGGCAATGCTTTTTTTATACTGCCTTTGTTTTTTCTTATATATACATTTCCCCCTTTACTTCTCAATAAAATTTGATTATTTTTTTTAAAAAGAGGCAATTTTTCCCAGTGGAAATGATTATGATTGGGGGGGGGGGGGGAGAGAGAAGGATGGAAGGAAGGACAGGTGGAAGGAAGGAAAGACAGGCAAGAGTAGATGGAAGGAAGGAAAGAAAAGGAAGGAATGAAAGAAGGCAGGCAAGGATAGATGGATGGATGGAATGAAGGATAGATGGATAGAAGAAAAGAAAGGCTAGATGAAAGGAAAAAGATGAATGGATGGAAGGAAAGGAGGAATGAAGGACAGGAGGAAAGAAGGCATGCAAGAAAGATAGATGGATGGAAGGAAGGAGAGAAATAAGGAAGGAAGCAAAGAAGGAAAGAAAGTAGGAAGGGAAGGAAGGGAGAACGAAGGAAAGGAAAGAAGGATAGATAGAAGGACCAAAGACAGAAAAAATAAGGAAAGAAAAAGAAGGAAGAAGGCAGGCAAGAAATAGATGGAAGGAAAGAAAGAAGGAAGGAAGAAAAGGAGGAAAGGAAGGAAGAGGAGGGAAGAAGGAAGATAGAAGGAAAGAAGGAAATATGGAAGGAAATAAATAAAGAAGGCAGTCAGGTAGGAAGAAGGGCAGGAGGAAGGAAAGAAGGCAGGCATGTATAGATAGATGGAAGGAAGGAAAGAAAGAACAAAGGATAGATGGATGGAAAGAAGGCAGGCAGGAAAGAAGGCTTGATGGAAAAAGGATGGATGGATGGAAGGAAAGAAGGCAGGCAAAAAGGATAGATGGATGGAAGGAAGAAGAGAAATAAGGAAGGAAGCAAAGAAGGAAAGGAAGGAAGGAACGAAGGAAGGCAAGAAAGAAGGATGGATGGATGGAAGGAACAAAAGACAGAAAAAAGAAGGAAAGAAAAGGAAGGAAGAAGCAAGCAAGAAGTATAGACGGAAAGAAGGAAAAAAAGATGGATAAATGGAAGGAAGGAAAGGAGGTAGGAATGAAAGGAGGAAGGCAGGAAAGAAAAAGAAGGAAGGAAAAGGAAGGAAGGACAGATGGAAAGAAGAAAAGATGGAAGGAAGGAAGAAAAAAAGCAGGAAGGAAGGAAGGAAAGAAGGGAAAAAAGGAAAGAAAAGGAAGAAGGCAGGCAAGAAGGACAGGTGGAAAGAAGAAAAGAAAGAAGGAAGGAAAGGAGGTAGGAATGAAGAAAGAGGAAGAGAAGGAAGGAAAGAAAGAAGAAGAAGAAAGAGGAAGGAAAAAAGGAAAGAAGGAAGGAAAAGAAGGAAGAAAGAGGAAAAGGAAGAGGAAAGAGAAAAGGAAGAGGAAGGAAGGAAAGAAAGAAAAGTAGGAAGAAGAAGGAAGGCAGGAAAGAAAAAAGGAAAGAAGGAAGAAAAGAAATGGAAGGAAAGAAGACAGGCAAGAAGGATAGATGGAAAGAAGAAAAGATAGAAGAAAGGAAGGAAGGAAAGAAAGAAAGAAGGAAGGAAAGAAGGAAGGCAGGAAAGAAAAAATAAAGAAAAGAAGGAAGACAAAAGAAGGGAGGAAGGAAGAAGGGAGGCAAGAAGGATAGATGGAAAGAAGAAAAGAAAGGATAGATAGAAGGAAGGAAAGAATGGAGGAAAGGAAGATAAACAGAAAGAAGGAAAGGAAAGGAAGGAAGAAGGCAGGCAAGAAGGACAGATAGAAAGAAGAAAAGAAAGAAGGAAGGAAAGGAGAGAAGAAAGGAGGAGGCAGGAAAGAAAAAAGAAGGAAGGAAGGAAGAGGAAAGGAAGAAAAAGGAGAAGGAAAGAAAGATAGAAGGAAGGAAAGAAAGAGGAAAGAAAAAAGGAAAGAAAAAGGAAAAGGAAGGAAGAAAGCAGGCAAGAAGGACAGATGGAAAGATGAAAGGAAGGAAGGAAAGAAAGTAGGAATGAAAGAAGGAAGGCAGGAAAGAAAAAAGGAAAGAAGGAAGAAAAGAAAAGGGAGGGAGGAAAGAAGACAGGCAAGAAGGATAGATGGAAAGAGGAAAAGATAGAAGAAAGGAAGAAAAGAAAGGAAGAAGGATTGAAAGAAGGAAGGCAGGGAAAAAGGAAGGAAGGAAGGAAGGAAGGAGGCAGGCAAGAAGGACAGATGGAAAGAAGAAAAGATGGAAGGAAGGAAAGAAAGAAGGCAGGAAAGAAAAAAGGAAGGAAGGAAGGAAGCAAAGGAAGGAAGGAAGCAGGCAACAAGGACAGATGGAAAGAGGAAAAGATAGAAGAAAGGAAGAAAAGAAAGGAAGAAGGATTGAAAGAAGGAAGGCAGGGAAAAAGGAAGGAAGGAAGGAAGGAAGGAGGAAGGCAGGCAGGCAAGAAGGACAGATGGAAAGAAGAAAAGATGGAAGGAAGGAAAGAAAGAAGGCAGGAAAGAAAAAAGGAAGGAAGGAAGGAAGCAGGCAACAAGGACAGATGGAAAGAGGAAAAGATAGAAGAAAGGAAGGAAGGAAGAAGGCAGGCAATAAGGATAGATGGAAGGAAAAATGAAGGTTGGATGGGTTGGTGGAAAGAAAGAAGAAACGAAGGACAGGAGGGAGGGAGGAAAGAAGCCAGGCAAGAAGGATAGATGGATGGATGGGTGGGTGGAAGAGAGGAAAGGCAAGAGGGAAGGAGGGGAGGGTGTTTGGGGTACCCCCTTGCCCTTCCCTTCCCTGGGCCCCCCTCACCGATGGTGGAGATGAAGGTGGTGTTGAAGGCATCGTCGGAGAAGCGGAAGAGGACGCAGGTCTTGCCGACGCCGGAGTCGCCGATGAGGAGCAGCTTGAAGAGCAGGTCGTAGGTTTTCTTCGCCATGGGGCCCGACGGCGACGCCCGGCTCCGGGACACGCCAGGCCCTCCCTCGAGCCCTCCTCCTCCTCCCTCAGGAGAGCCCCGGCGAGGGGAGAAGAAGAAGAAGGAGGAGAAGAAAAAGAGGGGACGAAGAGGAGGAGGAGGAGGCACAAAATGGCGGCCGGCGTGGAGGAGAGGCCAAGCGGAGAGGGAGGCGGCGGCGTGGGGTGTTCCCGGTGGGCTTCCTTCCTGTCCTGCCTGCCTTCCTTCCTTCCTTCACGGCTGGGCGGCGTTCGGCCTCATGCTCGCTCCATCCCTTCCCTTCGCTTCTTTCCCTCAGGCTCTGTCACTCTCTCTCCGCCTCACGAGAGGAGGAGGAGCAGGAGAGTAGGCCGCACGCGCGCTCACGCCACACGCACGCAGCCACGGGAGCGCGCACGTCCAGGCCGGCCGCTCCCTGCTTCCTTTCCCCTCTCAGCTCTAGTGCGCCTGCGCAGAGGGAGGCGGCGCCCGGTGCGTGCGCAAGCCCGACGACGCACGTACGCACGCACGCCGGCCTGCCGCTCCCTTTCTCACAGGGGAAAAAGAGCAAGCACGCGCACGCACGCAAGGCCGGCCTTTCCTTTCTCTCTCTCTCTCTCTCTGCTCTGACGTAAGAGCTCAGCTCATGCGCGTGCGCAAAGGAGGCCACACACACACACACATATATACACACACTGGCCAATCGCGTGGCGGCAAAGTGACTCAAACGTGGGCGGGGCCGACAAGAGGGAAAAGGGGCGGAGCTCTGTGGCGTTCAAGCTCAGGCTAGTGCGCGTGCGCAGAGGGGCTCCCTTCTTCCCCTCTGCACAAGAGAGGAATAATGTGCCGTTCAAGCTCAGGCTAGTGCGCCTGCGCAGAGGTGTTCCCTTATTCCCCTCTCCACAAGACGAAAAGGGGCGGAGCTTTGTGGCGTTCAAGCTTAGGCTAGTGCGCCTGCGCAGAGACAGGCTGCGCCCTGTGCGTGCGCAAGCCCGACGACGCACGTACGCACGCACGCCGGCCTGCCGCTCCCTTTCTGAGAGGGAAAAAGAGCAAGGCACGCACGCGCACGCACGCAAGGCCGGCCTTTCCTTTCTCTCTCTCTCTGCTCTGACGTAAGAGCTCAGCTCGTGCGCGTGCGCAAAGGAGGCCACACACATATACTGGCCAATCGCGTAGCGGCGAAGTGACTCAAACGTGGGCGGGGCCGACAAGAGGGAAA